ACAAACAAGGGCTACTTTTTATTTCATACTTTCAGCACCAAGAGGAGTGCATGGCTGCTTTGGCTTCTTTCAGATAAATTAATGTTGGCATGGCCTCCACACCTAGGGGTGAGCGTTCAATGGAATCGAGTTAAAAAAAATTTAAATTATTCGAGTTTGCGAGTTTTATTTTACAACTCACAGTTGAGCCATGAACTCGTGGTGAGTGAGATCAGCAAAGGCATTGAGAGCCAATAAAAAAAAAGAATTTGACATATCTTTGTGCCGAGTAACAAAGGCGTAGTTGTCTTGGAAGACTCTAATCCTGTAAGATTTTTCCTCCGAGGAGTAGGTTTTCCCATGTTGATTGCACCAAGATTCGAAAAGCTGGGAGATATGGGAAGGAGAAGCAGAAGAAGAAGAAAGGTCAAAGAAAAGAAGGAAAGATAGAGAGGTTCCATTGTTTTTGTTTAGAGAGAAAAGGAGGGTGATTTGGGTTCCCCTGAATGGTCTATATTCTTTTAGCTGACTGCAGGTGCCTAAAACTGTAGGTGGGTGGGTGTCCAAGCAAATAGGAAGTGGAAACACATGGCTCTTTTACAATGGGTAGGTAATTCTCCGAAACGATCATCTTTTGCTGATCGGATACGTTGTGCAATAAACTTATACGTTGTGTATTCTTTGGTGCAAATGTGCACAAGTGACGGGCTCTAGAGTCGGTCGCGTCAAATCAAGTATATCGTTCTCTCAAATCTGAATTATTTAAGCTACCTAAAGCCGGATCTTCCTTTGTCTTCAATTGCAGTTATTTACTTTTGAGTAAATTAATTTTATTTTATTTTATATGTTACTCACTTTACTTTAAAATCATTTAATTTTCTCATTTAATTTAATGTAATTAACGTTTTTGATCACTCAACCATTCTTCCACTAACGCCGTTATGACATGGATTTTTTTTATTATATTTAGTTATCATATTCCAAATATAAAAAAAAGTAAATACCTTTCCCCGTCCCCACTCAACTCTTCTTTTCTGCCGCTTCCTTCCCAGCCTCTCCTCCACCGTCTTCTTCCCTCTCTTCTTCTCTCTTTGTTTCATTGTACTCTTTGTTTCATTGTATGGTATTTTCGTTTCATATTATCTCTCAAAGGCTCTCTCTTCCTCCCATTCTTCATGTGGGTGGGTTTTTTTCTCTCTTTTTCTTAGCTTGAGAAACGAGAAGAGCATAAGCCTCAATCATAGCTTTTTTTATCCTTTTGTGGTCTAATCCTTTTTTTCTTGTTAATATTCTTTTACATCTGTTAGGTGAGTTTTCTAGGGGTTTTTTTTTTTTTTTTTACTTTTGTTTGATTTGTTGACGATTAGATGGTTTTTTTTTATATTGAATTATACGATTGTTTGGTTTAAAAGGTACCCTTTTATATTTTCAAAGCTCTGATTTTTATGATTTTTGCCTCTAAAATTTGTATATCCTGTCAATTTTGTATGGTGAGTTTTGGTTTGGGAATTGTCTCTTTCTTGTTTATGCATTCAATTTTAGTTTTTTCGTATGATTTTGCCTTTTGTTCTATATGGTTGACCAAGGGTGTTGTAGATGCTGTAGAAGCAAACTTCCCAACAACATTTCATGGGTTCAGCATACATCATCTCATTGACAGTTTCCAGCGGCTTTGTTTTGTTGTGTAAAGAAAAGTTTATAGTTAATTGCACATTGAATTATATGAACTGGATTTGCATGTGATTTCTGCAATTTGATGAGAGTTGAGTGGCGTTGGAGAAAGGCATTTACCCTTTTTTTTTAATATTTTTTCTTTTTTTTTTCTGATTTGAAAAATATAATAAAAAATTCACGTCATAAAAAATGGTTGAGTGACCAAAAACATTAATTATATTAAATTCTGTGAGGAAATTGAATAATTTTAAAACACAGTGAGTAAAATAGAAAATATAGTAAAATTCAGTGACGATCTGTGTAATTTATCCTTTATTTTTAGTAAAATTAAATATCTATTTTTCAATAATTTAACTAGATATAAAAAAGCTGTAATTAGATATTTTTGTTAATTAATCGTATATCAATATAAGATTTTAACATTTACTTTCTGAATTTATAATACTTATTATTTTTTAAACTAAACGATATTAAAATTCTAAATATGAATCAACTAAAATTAAATGTGTTATTAAAAAAATTACCTAAATACACTAAAAAATATCAAGTACCTGATGGTACAAAATAATGAGGAACAAGTTACACATGAATATTAAAGTTTACCTTTACAAAATAATAAATATAATTATCTAACATAACAAGCTTTGAACTTCTTTCTCTTCTTCTGAAAGTTGGAACATTTACAAAGGGCAAAGCTTGTTAGCGATGGGATCTATCTGTAGCAATCAATGTCTAATAGATGGTTTGTTTTGTTCATTGAAGAGATGGTTTACTGAGCTACCATATAAGTTTTGAGATATAGGTAATTGAAACCAGATAAGAAACATATTGTTTACTGAACAGTGAATTATAGCTCTTCTATAGTATTTTTGTTGGTACTTTGTACAAGATATTTTTTAATTCGCTTTAGGGGGAAATACTGTTAAAGCAATTAATTGAATTGACTTTGCATTTTGGGTGCATATGAATGATGTTTAAAACTTCAGTCAACGGATTTATACATCCTAGGAGTGGCAACGGGATGGGAAAATTTTTGCATTACCCAATCCGTCTCTAATATTTTATGAGTACGGTTTTTGAAATTTTCATTGTATGTTTCGGGAATATTTTTGTCCCCATACTTATCACTTACGGATCTTTACAGGTTTCGATTAGTCTCCATCCCAAAAAATAAACAAACAATTTTGTTTTAAAATCAATGTAACCCCTAAAACTGTAAAATATATCATTATTGTCTTAAATTGGTTTCTTATCTATAATATGAAAGCTTCAAACGTCAATATTCATTTAACACTCAATGTATACGTAGAATCTTAACTATTTTCAATCTCAACAAATCAATGTATATTAAATGAGAAAATATATAAGCTTCAATTTTAGTTCATTTGAAATGTATATTAATTTTTACATATTAAATGAGAAAAGATCTAAATTTTAATATTAGTAGCATATGTAATCTCACAATCTTATCATATATAATTTTTATTAAAATATATATATCAAAGGTATATATGTAAATGATTATAAATATGATTTTAAAATTTTGTAAAATATCAAGAATTCATTCGAATATTTTTCGAGGATCACTACGATTATTCAGACAGGTACAATTTAATTATCCTCATGATTCAAATATAACAATCTCATCTATATCTCCATTTGAAATTCGGGAATAAATCTTCCCTATCTTCATCGTGAATATTTTGATTAGTCTCCATCGTCGCGATTTTCGATTTTCTCCCACCCACCCTTATGCATACGGCACAAACTCAATTCATCAGTCATGACCGTAGACTTGTGGACCTGAACAGCTCAAAAACTCCAAAATGATTTTGTTGAGAGTGGGATTTGAACCCACGCCCTTTCGGACCAGAACCTTAATCTGGCGCCTTAGACCAACTCGGCCATCTCAACCTGTTTGTTATAATATCTATTTTATTGTAATATCATATTTTTATCAATTTGGCCAAGAAATGATTAGATCATTCCAAAATATCTCAATTGCATCACCTGCTGCTCGTCCCGTCCAATTTTTTTTATTATTTTATTTCACTTGAAAAGTAAGTGGTGGCCAATGCAGTAGCCGTTTTTTCTTTTCATTTTTTTTAAAAAAAGAAAGTAAAAACTAAGGGTGTATTAGGTTCGATTTTTCATTAAAATATGAATCAAATTGTATTTTACAAGTTTTTAAAAATGAGAATCGAAATCCAAATCAAATGACATAAACTCACGATTTTTTGTTCAGTTCGTCAGTTTTTGAATGTTCATTATTCTTCAAACCCAACATCTAATAAAAACAAATTTAAAGTTTAAATCGAATATAAATATATAAATTTAAATTTATAAAAAGTAGTACTATTAGTTTTAATATTTTATCTATTCAAATTTATCCTATAATAAATTCAAAATGAATGTATTTTGGATACTTATTATCTTTTATTTGTTTAATTAGATTTAACTCGATTCAAACGGTTTTCATATGAAAAAACCGAAATGAAACCAAATTTCATATTTATTTTCCCAAACCAAACCAAAATCAAAATGTAAACTAAAAAATCCAAACCTAAATGAATCGAATAATTTGTTTCAAATCAACTTTTCGATTCTCACAATTTTATTGGTCACCCATAGCAAAAACACAATTTAAATGTAATTTTTCATCATTAAAAAAAGGTGGGTGCACTGATAAATTGCATCACAATTAAAAAAACATAAATTTAAACGTTAAAAATGATATTATCCGAAATACAATTAGAATATAAATATAACAATGCTTGCTATTTACATTTTTTCATAGTCCCATATTTAAAAAAAAATTGTTTTTAAAATAATACTTGATATCATCTTTTAATATTGAACATATTCCATCAAGTACCTCTAGAATATTAATAAACAAAGTAAAACGTTTTTTATTTTAGAAGAGTGAAACGTAAAAGAGAGTTTCAACGAAGACTTAAAAGTGAGAGACGCAATCTCTATCCCCGGGAATTTCTGAAAAAAGGGTAAGAAGAGAGAGCCGAGTCGGAACCCTGAGTTGATTTCCCATATTTGGACTCGGGAATGATTCAGTGTACGAATGTATTTTAATGGGAAAAAGCTAGAGAGTAGCATGCGCCCCACTGGATGGATGCATGAATGCAAATGCAAAGCTATTTTTTGAACCTGGTTTCACAGTTTCACACTGACTTCCAAATCCCCCACGCCATTTCAATGTACTTGGGAGCCCCCACGTATCGAATCCCCCTTTTCTCATTTGTCTCATTTGTCATCTGTCATGAGTTCCTCTTCGAATTACTCCCCTCCCTTTGTTCTTATCTTCAACCGATCTTCCATACACGCCGTTTTCCATTGCTGGATTGACCATTATTCATCCTTTTCTTTTCCCTTCAGATTTTCCTTTTTTATTAAAACAAAAAATCCTTCACGTTTGTCACCAGAGCTTGTGTGCAGACAAGAGTCAAGGCCAAGTGTGTCCATGAGAAATGACAATGAGCTTTGCTGTCGACACGAACAAACAGGTTCTCCATGCCAAGTGTCACCCCAAATCCATATTAAGACACGTTTCGTTCAAGCTTAATTACCCCTTTGGAGCTCTTATCTCCCTTTACTGCCGTATAAATACCATCGTCCCCTTTCAGACAATGTGCTTATCAATCACTTTCCTAATATTTTTTCAAAACTTTACTTTGGTTTCTCTGTTGGAACAATGTCAACATCACTCACGGGTGGGTTTGGGGAACGAAAACAAATCAAGAAGCCTGCACAAGCAATCTCGAGAAAAGGATGCATGAGAGGGAAAGGAGGTCTGGAGAATGCCCTCTGCACTTACAAAGGTGTCAGGCAGAGAACTTGGGGCAAATGGGTGGCTGAAATCCGCGAACCCAACCGCGGCGCTCGTCTTTGGCTCGGAACTTTTGATACTTCACATGAGGCTGCAATGGCTTATGATGCTGCCGCCTGTAAACTCTACTGCTCGGAAGCCAAACTCAACTTGCCAGAATTATGTCCCAACCGTTGGTATCCATCACCTCCAACCTATACTCAGGTTGCTGCCATAGAGAATCAACATCAGAACGTGAATAATCCAGGTACGGGTTCATCAAATAGCCCCGTTATTATCAGGTCCAATGATGTACAACCTTTGTACAACAACAACTACGTCATGTCTATCCACAACGAGATCCTTGATTCTCAAGGAACCCCGGCGGAGAACAATGCACACTTAGGGGAAAATAAAGATGGAATTGATGGGTTCTGGGAAAATATGTGTGTGGATTTGCCTGTTGTAGATGAATCGATTTGGGCTGAAGCTGCCATCTCACTACATTTCCCAGTGATGGGTGATCCTGAGAGTTTTGCAGGTAACCTTGTGGATGCAACCGGCTGGGATGCCTTGCAATCACCATGGTGCATGTAAACCAAACATAAATGTTAGCATACGTGGAAACGTGACACAAACACATACATAGGGTGCATATATAAGTCATAGGGACAGGGTGCATATATAGGTGTGTATAAAGAATTATAAATGGTGTGTCCTTACCAGCTACAGTTCTACACTCTATAGCCCATACTCTTACCGTTTGTGCATATATATGGGGTTTTATGTGTTTATCGTGTTTTTTTTACCTTTTCAGTTTATCTTTCTGTAAAGATGTATATGAATCACGTGCTGTTCTAGCCGGTTTTTATGTTGTAGTTTATAATGTTTTGTAACACTCTATATCAGTACGACACACTCTCGACTAATGAGAGTACCACAAGGAACTATTCGAATGGCTAATCGACGAAGTTCCTTATCATACTCACTTAAAATTAAAGTGTAAATAGTTGCAATAAAATTTATATAAAAATAGTTAACAAAGTTCCTTATCCTACTCAGTTGAAATTAATGCTTTTGTGTGTAAATAGTTGCAATAAAATAGAAAATAAAATCTATATAAAAATATAAAATTAAAGCTTTTGTGTGTAAATAGTTGCAATAAAATAGAAAATAAAATCTATATAAAAATAGTTAACAAAGTTCCTTATCCTACTCAGTTGAAATTAAAGCTTTTGTGTGTAAATAGTTGCAATAAAATAGAAAATAAAATCTATATAAAAATAGTTTACAGTGGAGCTCCCACAATTACAAAATAAATCAAAATATACATACCATGTATTTAAAACAATTTACGACTCAAATTTACAAAATAGATATACATACCATGTATTTAAAACAATTTACGACTCAAATTTACAAAATAGAATTTTAAATATACATGTCCTCTAGAAATTTTAGACGTACTATGCTATGTATTGATCTTCACCTAATCTGCGTAAGGAAACAAACTCCAAATGTTGAACTAACTAACCCAGTGTCACACTAACAACTAAAATATACTAATACGGGTACATTTACAATATGCTTTAATAACTGAAAACAATACAATGCATCATCAATACAACATTAGTGAGTATCCTTACGATACTTACTCCCTACGATAGACATCATGGTGAGGCTGAGGGATTTCTGCATCTCGGAGCTTACGCACCCCTCTAGTCTACCGAGGATGTGGCCCCTGAAATCACTGCATTGGACACCACGCCTCCAATTAGCCCACCCCTTGTGAGTGTCGAACCTTGCGCCCTAGCTAGTCAGTTTTAAGGGCCTTGTGCCCTACCTATGGATATCCGGACTGCATCTTTACTTTCGACACCATAAACTAAAGGAATTCAGGTGTCTGAATTGTTTCCCGAGCATAAACCAAGGCTAGTTTTATGTCCCCGTAATTATTTGATTTTTATGTTTGAATTAAACATCGTAAATATTTTCACTTGTAGTCATGTTTGATAATATACTGAAGTATTGGGATACCTCAGGTCTAATCCCCTTAAAAACGATCCTTTTTGCCCAAAACAGACTGAGAGTATCGATACTAGCCCAAAAGTATCGATACTCTTGAAAAAGTTTCGATACTTTATATAAGTACTGATACTTTTAGACATTCTGTTCTGCCTAGTTTTGATATTTTCTGAGAGTTTTGAAACTATGTCTCAAAGTTTCGATACTCTTTCAAGAGTATCGATACTTCTGCACATAAAACATGTTTCTACCCAGAAATGAAGAAAAAAGTATCGATGCTATTTCAATAGTATCGATACTTGACCTACAGAAGACTTAAAAACAAGTACAAAAATGCTATATCTCACTCCCAAAGACCCTTGTGAGGTCCCCAAACATGCTTAAAGTCTTATGTGTCATAAAAGAGACATAAATAAGGCTTATATCATGATTAAAATTCAAAAACATAAAATCTACCATTGATATGCTCAATAAACTTATTTCTTACCTTAATGCTATTCAATACATTAACATAACCCATAAAGAGTATAGAAAAGTTGTAAGTGTGGATACCTTGATTTCTAGGCTAAAGCAAAGCTCCAACTCACTCAATGGAAGCTTTTCATTCCCCTTTTTCTTAGAGGCTTCACCCACTTCTTTTACTAATCAATATAAGAAAAAGAATTTTCTAAATTAACTATCTAATGAAAATAAAGATTTAAAATACTTCCAATAACCTAAATCTAACAAAAACGACCTAGAATCTTTGGATTTATTAAACCTCTCAAAAACCCTTTTGGAAACCTTAGAGGAAAACTTGCAAAATTGGACTTAAATTAAAGCTTGAAGAATGGTGATTCATAATTTTACCTTGGCTCAAGCTAACTAAGATTGGGTTGCTTGAAAATTGGCTCTTGAAAAGAAGGGAAATAGAAAATGCTAGAAGGAAGAAGGAGAAGACTGTTTGGTAAGATAATTTTGGGTTTGGTTCACGTGAATCTGATATAAAATGGGGGAAAGTTTTCAGCTTCACTTAAAAATGGGTACACTACTCTTTGGATGCCCACACTTTCAAGCCTACAAGAAAATCATCGTATTTCCTAATTCTTTTGGGCCCAACTCAACTCAATTCCCATTAAACTTGATCCAACCCATTTTAATAAATCTTTTGAGCTCTAAAATGAGTCTCGGATTAACCCGAACTATTAACTTTGGTTTCGGGGCGTTACACGTTTGTATATAATCAACATGTGCAATATATGTCTTCTCATATAATAATTTATAATGTTAATAAAAAATTGGAAAATATTTAGAAAATGTTACATTATTAGTATACAACAATAAATAGTAAATATTTCTATCTTATTGTTTCGCTTCAGTTATAAAATGAAGGGCTAAATTTATCCGATCAACTAAGATGTTTTAAATAAAAATTACGTTGAAAAATGAAAACAAGAACCCGATTTTGGTAAGAAACGTCTGCGAACGTGCACTTCAATATTGATAATCTTTGCTGTTGTCTGTCAGCAAGCGCAGTTTTTTCGTGTGCATCTCTTCCATTTTTTATTTTCCTGGCACGAACAATGAAAAGAGACATTTCTTTTTCCAAAACAACAAAGCTTGTGTTCACACACTTGGTTTTTTTTTACTGAGAACTTATGTTCAGAGTGATCTTAAAATTCAAGAAATAATCAGCTTCGACAGCATATCCATAATCCATCTTGATTTAGGTGAAGTAGGCTTGTGTTCCGTTCTTGATATCGAACATACCATGACCAATACGCTGGCCTCCCATAGCTGAGAAGCTTGGTTGTGGCTCAACCGGGCTACTTAAATTAAGAGAGTGAATGCTCAGTTGATATCATAATAGGATCTAATATCTACTGGTTTATAAGCATTAGTTCCCTAATAGCTACTCCTGCATGATTTCCTCCGTCTCCAATATTAATGTAGACTGGTCATCAACAGGAGTACACGTTCCATTCACATTATCACATGCAATGTTTGATATACGCTTCTGCAATACCGAACAATGGTATTGAGGTATTAAGCTAAGCAATAAATAGAACTTGGAAAAATGCACCTAAGATTATAAAATGTATGGTACTTACAGATCGCTCATAGAAATGAACTTGGCCTGAAAATTGGTACACAAATGTACCAAAGCTGAACTAATAACTTATAACTGATAAACACTCACTTAATGACATGTTAAATGTATCCACAACTCTCAGCCCAACATACAATGGGCTTATATTTATTATCATAGAATCATTTATTAATCTACGTCTGATAACTATAAAACATATGATAACTGAAAATCATCTGATAATTGTAAATATTTGATAACTGTAAACATTTAGAATTCATCATCATAAATATCATACTTGGGCAGTTCATACCCAAAACCATTCATAAAATTTGATGAAAAATACTATAGAAATATTTCATACTAAAAATTTATACATCATACTGGAAAATAAAATGAGGTTGACTTATCGCGAGTCGTCCTCAATCAGAGTAATTAAATAAATAAACTAAACTCTTTTGAAAATTTACTTATAAATTACATATAAGCCTCACTAAGCTTTAAAAAACTGCTTCCACTACACAATTTATTGAAATTTCATATTTTGGCAGTTTGCACTACCTTCAAAGAAATATTATTCTATATTAATATATATATTGAAAAATTATTTCATTTGCACCACTAAAAACTAGACTCGAATAAAAATCTAACCATATAAGGCACTCCGTCTAGTTCCACTTTTACATTTTATAGCGATTTTTCAAAGTTGCCTGACAAAAGTTGTTTTGGACATAATCTGCTCTCCTATTTTCTAACCTATTAATTAAAAATTCATATCTTTTTGTATAATCCTCAAAATTAGTTGTCGTTTGTTCTAAACGAAAACTATACTGATAGAAGAATCCAATGGTATAAAATTCATCTTCTAACCATTTTTTTAGAATTGTTTTATGATTTTCTAAACTTATTGCTCAAAACGTAATTTCTAGGCAGATTTTACCAACTAATGTCCTTGACTTATTTACTAGTTCTATTAGCTTACTAAATAAACATATAAACCTGAATCACACTTCACATAATACTAGGAGTCACTTATTAACGTAACTCCAACACTGGCTCATCGCAAGCCGATGATTGGTCGAAACATATATACAAATGAAATGCACTCACCTTTGCCTCGCTATCAAATCTTCTCCACGATAATCTTCTGGATCCCACACTTTTTCCTTCCCTTTCAAGCTACTTGAATCACTAAATTTATTGTGGATTGACAACGTCATATAATAATATAGAAAATTCAAACTATTAGTTAGTATCAAACTAATATAATCTAAACTTAAATATAAAATTCGATAAAAATAAATCTGATATTTAAATTGATATAAAACTAAATTATACTTCCATCATGATTTCAAACTTTTCAAAATATTCCTTAAATTACAGGAATATTTCGCTTCACTATCAACTCTTCAACTTTTACTAATTTCATAACCCAACCACTAATTATGAATTCTTTTTAGAATTCGTATCAACTTTCCTATTTAATCCATAATAACCCTTCATCATTATGATCATTTCAAATTAATCACATAAAATTTCCA